AGGGGAGCGTGGGGGCGCCGGGAGGGACTTACAGGGTTTGGGTGTGCGCCGGGTGATTTGGGGAGGGCTTAAGTTCAGGTCTGATCTGGACTGGTCTCAGGAAGCAGGGGTAATTCTAAGATCAGGTATCTTAACAAGCCTTGTCTCCAGGCCGGGGAACCCAGAGCCGGGGTGAAGCTGTGATTGGTGAAGCGGCCACAACCATTCCCGTTATCTGGCTGGGTGGGGGCTGGGGGCGGGCTTGTTTCCACATTTTGTGGCTTGGATGACGTTCATGCTGTTGTCCATGCTCAGGCTTTATTACAGAGGGGTCTGGTTTATGTCTTGGCTATCACAGTCGCGGAGCGGCCTTGCCTGGTGTGGATGTTTGTGCAATTGTTTATGTTCAACAGGAGGACACCAAGCCGTGAGGGCTGGGCCCACTCCCAGCTCTCAGGGCTGCTTTCTTTTTCTTGGGGACAATGTCAGAGGCCAGGAACCCACAGTACATGGTAGGACACGAGCCCACAGCATGTGGTCTCTTCAGCTAGAACAGCTCCCAGTGCCCTTGTGGGCCCCTGTAAGATATCTCCTGGCTGGGCGCGGTGGCTCACACCTGTAATCACAGCACTTTGGGAGGCCAAGGCAGGAGGATTATTTGAGCCCAGGAGTTTAAGACCAGCCTGGGCAACACAGAGAGACTCTGTCTCTACAAAAATTTAAAAATGAGCCAGGTATGGGGGCACACGCCTGTAGTCCCAGCTGCTCAGGAGGCTGAGGAAGGAGGATTGCTTGAGCCCAGGAGTTTGAGGGTTGTGGTGAGCTATGATGATGCCACTGCACTCCAGCCTGGGTGGCAGAGTGAGACTCTGTCTCTAAAAAAGAAAAAAGGTATCTTCTCCTTACCCGTCACCATCTGATGCTGTCTGTGGAGAGCTGCAGGCTGGCAGGGCCTAAGGCCTGGGGACGGAAGGTGAGCAGGGCAGCCGCAGCCCCCACTGAGGAGGCCCTGTTCTGTGGGTGGCTGGAGGGCACTCCTGGAGCGCTGTGCTCAGTGGCCTGGCTAGCCCAGCTGCTGTTCCAGCCAGAATGGAATAAGTCCCGACACGCAATGGCAGGGCTTGAGATGGCGGGCCGAGTCCAGCCTGCCCTGCAGTCCTCAGGCACAGCAGGAGCACGAGCCCGCCCGTCTCCTCCCCCAGCCCACTCTCTCCCAGGAGAGCTCGCTCAGTGCCCCCAGCTCTGGGAGCCAGGGAGGTGTCCCCGCAGCACCTGACTGGTCAGGGCTGTGCCCTTCGGAGAGGCAGCAGGGGGTGGAGGGTGGAGGAAGAGGGACGGTGGAATGAATAGGGGAGGGGTGGCAGAGGGGACAGAATTTGGGTGGCAAAATCAAAAAGAGGTGCACTCTGAATGCTGCAGAGGACAAAGGTAGGAGAATATTTTCCTTATTTTATTACTGGTATTTATTTTTTATCTCTTCAGATTCCTTTTACCAGAGAATGCTGCTTTTAACTTGGCATATGAGATGCAATATGGTTCAGGACCCATCAGAAAAGACATAAAATTCCTCATCTTCCTAAATGAGAAACAGGAATCAAAATTGGATGGTGGGCCAGGCGCGGTGGCTCACGCCTGTAATCCTGGCACTCTGGGAGGCCGAGGCGGGCGGATTGCTTGAGCTCAGGAGTTCGAGACCAGCCTGAGCAAGAGCGAGACCCCGTCTCTACTAAAATAGAAAGAAATTAATCGGACAACTAAAAAACTATATAGAAAAAATTAGCCGGGCATGGTGGCGCATACCTGTGGTCCCAGCTACTCGGGAGGCTGAGGCAGGAGGATCGCTTGAGCCCAGGAGTTAGAGGTTGCTGTGAGCTAGGCTGACGCCACGGCACTCTAGTCCTGGCAACAGAATGAGACGCTGTCTCAAAAAAAAAAAAAAAAAAAATTGGATGGTGCCCCGCTGGCTCACCAAGGGTCCTGAAATGCCCCGAGGGCACTCCATTTGGGCACAGTTGAGGTTAGGTGACACAGTGAACACGTTGTGGGAGGCACTGGGCCCCTCAGCAGGGAGCCTGGGGCTCTGCAGCAGACCCTGCCTGTCCCCTGGGCCGCGGGGAGCCCCAGGGCCAGGCAGCTCAGCAGCACAGCTGGAAACTGTGCAGCGGGGCAGGGAAGGATGCCCCACACGGAGAAGAGCCAGGTGAGCTGCAAACAGGCCAGCGGCGGGCAGGCAGGAGCCCGGGCCAGAGGCCCTTCCGGACCCCGCCAAGCTCGGGACCATCCACGGAGCGCACTGAAGAACCACCGTGTGTCGGGGCGAAATGACCCGTTAGAAAAGTCCTGCAGGCCAGAGGGTGGAGCCCAGATGTCCGCAGGCTGAGACTGGTGGGGACTCCAGCAGCGGCCCAGGTGGGAGGTGGCTACGGTGACAGGAGACAGAGTGAGGAGGCTGTCACTGGCGTGGGGACTGCTGGGGGAGAGCAGCACCTCATTAACACTGGGGGGACAGCCGTGTGGGAAGTGGGTGGAGGAGTTTACACTGGGAAAATCAAACCTATCAAACTTTGGGAAAATGACCACATGGTGCAATCCTCAGACCTGGGGACTCACCCCATCGAGAGGGAAAGAATAATGGGGGCTGACAAGAAGACGGAAACTGTCACCCTGCACGGTTCCCACCAGGGCCCACGGAGCAGGGCTGTCTGCGGGCTCCGCACACTTCCTACCTGTGTGTGTTCTGGAAGCGTTCAGAGGAAACATCTGCGCAGAACATGACATCACCAATGCGACAGTCAATAGTTGACATAAATCCACTTAGCAGAGACTCACCCTCACCTAGCAACCCAGCCACCAGCAAACTAACAACGCTAGTCCTCCTGCAGGAGGAATGTTGGCCTCAATCCTCAGAGGCCGACATTCCCAGCCAGGGATTCCACCCTTGCCCCAGATCCACTGAGAACTGGGTCGTCAGAACCGGCGGGTGGAAAAGCCGGCAGAGGTTAACAGGAATGTCTTTCCCACCCTGTGCAGAGCCGAGGAGGTGGCCGGCTGCCCAGACCACACCCCTTCCCGGGGCAAGGAGACAGCGAACAAGGGTGAGGCTCCCAGGCAGGGTCCCTGTGCTGTGGCACTGGTGACTTCTGAGGCAAATTTAATTAATTCCCGTTTTATACACTAGGAAACAAGGGACCAACGAGCCAGGGGTATGTAGAGTCAGGCCCCGAGCCCAGGTCCGACTCAGACACTCACGCCACACCCACCCTCAACAACAAACATTCAGCCTACACGTCAAGGAATGCACAAACGCACATCCAGACCAGATCAAGTCCAAAGAGCAGCACAGTCCACCAAACCGCAGTTCTGGGGGTGCCGCTCAGTGCCAGTTGTGGTCTGCTGCTTTCACTTTATGTTGTACCAAGTGCGTGTACGTAGTTATTGCCATCCCCACCCTCTGCCACACGCACTAAGAAGGACCTTTTCCCTGTCGTCAGGGAAACATCATTGAAATTGTGTGCACACATACACACAAAACACGACTCGTTCACTCAGCACGTCTCACCCGGGCAGCAGGCCCCAGGGGAAGACCCGTCTGAAGGATGCATCCTGTGAGAACACATCCTGTTACTAACATCGAAACAGGTAGGGAGTTCTTCTGTTTTTATTTTTGAGACGGGTCTCCCTCACTCTGTCTCCCGGGCTAGAGTGCAGTGGCGTCATCATAGCTCACTGTAGCCTTGAACTCCCAGGCTCAAGAGATCCTCTCCCCTCAGCCTCCCAAGCAGCTGGGACTACAGGCCGCCGTGCCCACCTAATTTGATCTCCCTATGTTGCCCAGCATAGTTTTGAACTCCTGGCCTCAAGCGATCCTCCGCCTCAGCTCCCAAAGTGCTGGGATTACAGGCGTGAGCCACCGCGCCTGGCCGGGGGTTTTAAAGATAGATTCAAGACAGTGCAGGAAGCTTCGGTAAGCAGCGGCCAACATGACGTCAGTAAAAGGCCCTTACTAAGAGTAACACGCCCATCTTAGCAGTTATTCGAATGCATCCATCAGCCTACCCCGCGGACTCAGGTTCCTCCTCTTATTTTGCTGTGAGTCACTGGGCCCCAGGGTGGCCTCGTGTAGACACACATCACACAGCTTGTCCCTGCGGACGGCTGCCACGGCGCTCACCTCTGAGTGCGCAGAACCCAGATGCTGCCGTCACGAAAGCCTCACAGCAGGAACTGTCTGTGCTCATCTGCTTAAATTCATGACAGACTCACCTAGGAAACTGAGTGGCACCCAGACAAAGGCCTTTGTGAAGATAAGTTACTGAGGAATGTTTCTAGTGCCTGTTTTCTTCAAAATCACCCTCCAGTAAAAATGAAACGAAAATAGCTGTGAGGTTAAACACATTATTTTCTCACAACAGCATTATTCTGTAAAATAGGCTTGTTGTTTTGACTTTTGTGCAAAATATTTTAAAATGTGTATACTTTATAATAAACTAAATCACAGGCTGAAGCTGTTTCTTTTTTTTTTTTTTGAGACAGAGTCTCACTGTGTTGCCCGGGCTAGACTGCCGTGGTGTCAGCCTAGCTCACAGCAACCTCAAACTCCTGGGCTCAAGCGATCCTCCTGCCTCAGCCTCCGGAGTGGCTGGGACTACAGGTGTGTGCCACCACGCCCAGCTAATTTTTCTATTTTTAGAGACGGGGTCTCACTCTCGCTCAGGTTGGTCTTGAACTCCTGATCTCAAGCCATCCTCCCGCCTCAGCCTCTCAGAGTGCCAGGATTACAGGCGTGAGCCCTCGCACTGGCCTGAAGCTGTTAGTTTCTGTCAAAGGAGCTAATTTTATGCATTTATGTGACTTGACTCTTGCAGCACTGATAACGTAGACTCCATAACCTTTCAAAGAAGTGCCTTTATTTATTTACAGGGTTTAGGGAAGGAAAAAAACTCTAGAAAAAGGACATTTCAAAATAGGTCTTCAGCAGGGGCCCAGGCAGAGTCAGTGGCTTTGACACGTCCAGGCTGGCGTCACTTCCAGGTTGTGAGGACAGTTCTCCCTGAGTCTCTCGATCGGTTCGCTTTGGGCCCCAGCGACTGGCCCGAACGACTCCGCAGCTCTCGGTCAGCCCCGTCACCCTGGGCCAGTTCCTCGTCGTACCTGGGAACAAACAGCTCCAGGGTCACAGTGAGCTCCCTCAGAGACAGCGGCAACAAGCACTGCCACTGGGCTGCTGTGTGGCAAACACCGTGTCACCCGAGAAGCAGCCTGACCAGGCCCTGGCTCCCCAGCCCTGCCTGGCTGCAGCCCACCCGCCCACCCCCAAACACCACCTGAGGCCACGGCGCCGAAGCACAACCTTGCTGGGTCATTGCTGTGGACAGTCCTCCCTGCCCACCCTCCCTGCAGCTGGCATTTTATACAGGCCACCAGATCGAATTGGGCAGTGACACCAAAGGAAATGAGAGACGACACCGAGTCAGTCCAGGGTAGTGAGAGACAGAACTCACTCTGCACACAGCACCCGCGCACAGGGGTGACTGACCCCACTTCAGACTCGGAATGGGGGTGCGAGTGACCTGCCAGGAGGGGACCAGGACAAAGACAGGTCCTGCCATTCACACGGCACAAGACTCCTCCATTGTGACCCACACCACCCCTCCCCACTATCTTTAACTGCCTGTTTCCCAGTTAGCGTCGCGCTTCAGGCCGCGCGAGAGCTGAGGACATGGGGTACGGGGAACACAGCCCGGCCTTTTGCGTGGGAAGGAACTGCCCCGACCCCAGGGGTCCTGGCGTCTGGGCAAGTCCCTGGCCTTCCCCGTTGTGGAAGGGCCCCTCCCCTGGGCCCCCGAGGGTGGTGCGATGCTGCCTGCGCCTGGTGCAGAGCAGGCTCCGATGAGTGGGGCCACCCACCCCACGGGACTTCACATCGCCCTCCAGACTCAGACTGCGGGCGTCAGGACCCCTCCTTTCGAGGAACCAGGCTCTGGAGCTTGCTCAGTGTCGCCGGGTCCAAAAGCCGGCCTGTGGCAGAAGGGTTAACACCCAGGACTCCTGGCTCCGAGTTCAGAGCTCATCACGCACAGAGTATAAAAGGCATTTCTGTCCACTACTGAAGTGGGTCCCTAGGTGTGACACGCTGACCATCCTGACTGAGGACCCTCAGTGACACAGACATTTATATCAAACGCAAAAGGACTCAGATGCTCAGTTATGCTGCATTAGCCAAATGCTAAATTTGCTGACTTCTGGAAAAGGGTGTAATTCTGTTATATGTTTATTTCCAAAATCGGAATCTGCGGGTTGAATGGGGTACGGGTTAGAAACGTCTGAGGGTGAAGAATACATTTTCCTGGCTTACAGTAGGAGTGAGGAAATAAACAAACAACAAAAAGAATGTGTTTTCCCCGCGGGGGTTCTGGTGGCAGACGGACTGAAAGGGAAGCAAGGAAGCAGGCCCGTGCTGACTGTCCTGCGGCAGATGCTCCGGGGACCACGGCGCTGGGGTGGGGATGTCGGGACGACAGGAGGGCCCTGCTCTCCTCCCTGGCTCTCCAAGGAGAGATGTGGCCACAATCCCCACGACACAGCAAAGCTGGACAGAGGATGCCCCAGGGTCACTGAAGGTTCCACCTGTGGGGGCTCCAGGTCAGACACTCCTACCCCATGGACGGCTGGAGCCCCCGGACTCCGATTCCTATGTTATCTCCCTCCTGCCTGTCCCAGTCTACAGTACTGACCCAAGGGCTCGGGTGACCACCTGCCTGGCTCGTGGTCGCCCCAGCAGCTTGCTCCAGGGCAGGGGATAAGAACGCAGAATGGACGGAGAAAAGGACCACACGCGGGTACCAGTTTACTGAGCTGGTCTGTGTTGCTTGAAAGATAAAACAAGCAAAACGGAGCATTTGGCAGGCAGCTGGCACCCAGGGTGGGCTGTTCTCAGGGACGGTTTGGCCACTCGCTGAGCTGATGTAGCGGAGGACCAGGCAGAGACAGGATGGTTCTTCTAAGTTCCTACTCTTGCAGGGCCAGAGCGGCAACCTGGGACGGCAGCAGAGCACCCGTTTCTGGGGCTCGGGCCAGCGGTGTGACCCCGGCACATAAGCTCGCACTGCCAGCTTCCTCCTGTGCATGCTGGCATGCTCCGAAGGGCGGCGCCCCTCAGACGCCAGGGCCCTTCCCAGTCAGCACCACCCCCTACTGCGGCAAAAGGCCACACCTGAGGACAGGCGGGGTCGATTCTGATGGGTCATTTGAAACTCTGGGGGAGCAAGCCCTACATGGGAGAGCTTAGGGACCACCGGTCTACATGAGAGCCTCCCGTCAGCTCACAGGAGTGGGGGAGGATGGCTGACGGACTGGGGAGGGGTCACCTGTTGTCTCTTCAACTAAAAGCAGTGAGGTGTGTCTGTCTGGCCCACTCCCTCGAGGAGGCCATGGCTGGGCGGGGCAAAGGCTCCATAGGCTCCCGACAAGCCAGCCTCCCTGCCACCCTCGCCGGGCTGAAGAGGGGCCCACCAAGGCCCCCACGCTCCCCACAAGTCCTCTCCCCACAGCCCCCACCACAGAGGCCCTGAAGACTGCGCCCCGAGCCCCCCATCGCAGCTGACATCTGCCACCCTCACATGACCCTCACCGCCCGTGCTGCCAACCCCAAGCGGCTCTGGACACGCCCGTCTGTCCCCATCCCCGAACTCTTCCTCTGCGCACCCCGGAACTCTCCACCCATCACCAGCAACCCCGAGGCCTCCGCCTCGCCCCTGCAGGCCCACCTCGCCCCCTGCTCTAACAGGCTCCTGTCTCTCCCGGCACGCGCTGCCTCCTCGCAGCCCCTCATGGGAGGTGTGTGCTCTCCACCCCCCACGCCCGGGCTGGAGGGGCCTCCTCTCCCACACCTCCCAGCGCCTTCCGGGGCAGGTCGGCACCCTCACTCCCTGCTTCCTGTGGTCACCTCTGACCCTCCAGGTCCCTGCCCCTAATTCTTCAGAGACTCAGGTTCCTGGTTCATGGCTGCCCATGACAGCAATGACCCTTCCCCCAGCTCACTTCCCAGAGACCCCAGGACCGCCCACCAGCCGTGCCTTGTCCCTGCCCCGCTGCCCCCTCTGCCATCGCCAGTGCGCCTCCGCCCTCTCTCACCATCCTCCTTGCCTGGCAAGCCCCCACCCTGGTCATTCCCAGCCCAGGCAGCTGACCACGGCGGAGGGACGATCAGCCACACTGACTGCTCGGCCTGAAGTTCATGACCACCACCCTCCTCCAGAGGCCCCAGTACCGCCCGGGAGGCCCACACACTTCCCTTCTGAAGTCACCTTCCACCTTCTCCTCCCTGCCCCAAACGAGCCGCTGCGCACACACAATAGCCCACGTCACCTGCAGCAGAGGTGGGGCAGCTAGGGGTGGGCTCTGGTGTCCAGGGCCTGTGTTCAGATTCTCCCGCCAGCAGCGCCTACCAGCTGGGAGCCGCAGATCTCTGTGTGTACGTATGAATTTCACTAAGTGTTTCTTCCTTTGTTTAAAATTTTAAACTGACTGCTCCTTTTTGCTTTGACAGAAGTATGGGTGATCCTGCCACACCCACTCTCCTCTTTTCCCTGGCTCTCCGCCCCCCGCCCCCGCAGCATCCACGCTGATGCACACGTGTCCCTCCACATGGCCCTGCTCGTCCACGCACACAGCAGCGCGCACACACAAGGGGGCTCTGAGGCGTCTGATTTGTAAGGATTATATTACATACCCTTTTCTACAATCTGTTTTTCCCGCTCAGCCGCCCAGGCCCCACAGGATAGCTCCAAGTCAGTCTTCTCCATGGCCCCTGACAGTGCATCGTAGGGACGACCACACTTTATTCAGCCATGGCCCCCGACGGGCCCTCACTGTTCCCACTCTCGTCACTACAAACAGGCCATTTAACCGCCGTAAGCCTTTGTTTCCACATCTGTAAAATGGAGCTAATGTCCCCGCTTACTTCACGAGGTCACTAGGGAAGGTGATGTGACAGTGTGCGCAGGGCACTCAGCACAGTTCTTGGCGCGTGGTGAGCCCTCAAAGATGAGCTATTATTATCATTTTTTCCTTCCCATTCTGTATGACAGATCTTCGTTTTTTTTTTTAGAGACAGTCTCGCTCCGTTGCCTGGGCTAGAGTGCCGTGGCGTCATCCTAGCTCACAGCAACCTCAGACTCCTGGGCTCAAGCAATCCTCTTGCCTCAGCCTCCCGGGTAGCTGGGACTACAGGCATGTGCCACCAAGTCCGACTAATTTTTTCTATATATTTTTAGTTGTCCAATTAATTTCTTTCTATTTTTAGTAGAGACGAGGTCTCGCTCTTGCTCAGGCTGGTTTCCAACTCCTGAGCTCAAACAATCCGCCCGCCTCGGCCTCCCAGAGAGCGTGAGCCACCGCGCCCGGCCACAACAGATCTTCTTGTCCCCATTTAAAGCTGTACAAACTGAGGCTCAAACAGTGGCAGTGAGTTCTCACTGTCACCCAGCTCCAAGTGGTGGAGGCAGGGCGTGAGCAACCCACGTGAGACAAGCGGCCCGCCCATCGTGCCCCGAGCTGTCCCCGCAGCCAGCACGGAGCCTGGCGTGTGGTAAGTGCTTCAGAAATGCTGATCAAGCAGGAGACGAGACAATGGTCCAGCTTAGCACCCAAACTGCTCCTCTGCTACCTCATGATCCGGCCTGTAAGGTCATTAATAAATGAAACACTCTGCCCAAATAAGGTGAGTCCACATAGGCCCAGAAACCCAAATAGGACCCTGGCGTACGTCACCCTGACACACAGAAGGACAAGTGCACAGTCCCACGCAAACTTACAGAATTTCGTAATTGCCAAGAACTTCCTTTGGGGGGGACTTGTTCCATTTGCAGTCTGGAATTTCACCGTTAGGGACCGCGATGTTGAGGGTGTCATTAATCAGGTTATACTTAAGGATCCGGTCGTTGGCAGTGCTGGAGGTGAGAGACGGGGACGCATTGACCTGTGACAGGAGACACCATAGTTGCCGCTCGCACCGCTCGCTCCGCTGGGACAAACGTGCGCCGCAGTTTAAAGTGTCATCATTCGATACTGTTAATATCTAATACCTTCAGAGCAACTTGTACAGGAAGCATTTTGTTAGCTGTTCAATGAAATATAAATAACACTTAAAAACAGGATTAGGATTAGGATTCACAAATCAGCTATCAGGTAAATGAAAGTTCTGGGTCAGCACACATCACAGACATAATTTCGGCGTCTACCTGTGTGATCAGGTCTGTCCTCAGTACCAAGAGCTGCCCAGAGGTTTGCTAGGATCAGTGACCACGCAGCAGTGTGCGGTGTAAGTACAGGTAACGGCCCCCTTGCTTTGCTGATAGAGCCACCGCACCAACAAAGCAGCATCGGACTCAAGTGAGGAACACACCCAGCACGTGGCGGGTCAGTCCATGAGCCCTCTGGGAAGCTAAGCAACGTCACAAAGTCCACATGTTAAAATGCAGACATCCACTCTGCAGAGAGTCCCCAGGCACCAGCTAGTCACTCGGCAGACCGTTCCGGTGACCGTGGGTAGCCGTCTGGTTAGCTGCTCCAGGCCGTGGAGATTAGGGCAGCAAACGTGCGAGTTGGCCAGGCTGCCCCGGTTGGACTGTCTCTCTGTGCTGCCACGGGGGCCTGACGTGCACGGGGCCAAAGAATGGCATAGACCTCAGCTGCCCCTAAAATTACCACTGAGTGTGTCACAGCGCTGTAATTCTTGTTATGAAAATGCAAAGATTAAGAATTATTATTAAATTAAGAAGTATTGTTCACAATTAATATCCTAGCTCAGCAAGGACAGTGTGACTTCCTTCAAGTCACTCTATTTGAGATGGTGGACGAGAAAATATAAATATTGTACATCTACTCCCCCTCGCACACACGGCTTTGGCAGTGCAAAAAATAAGTTGCCTGGAAAACACCGTTAGGGAACCTGCTGGCTCTCTGGTCATCTGGCTCTTCCAGCAGCTTCCTGCAGGGGGTTCCTGCTGACTGTCCCTATAGGGGACCACTCCCTACAACCTGCTATTGGAGACTCGGGTGTCCTGCCTCTACCGAGCTGAAGAGCCTGAGCTGTCCACCTCAAATCGGCAGGGAGATAAATCAACAGAACTAGAATGCCTCTGCTTTGATGTTTCAGAGGTGTGAAGCTCTTCCTCCTGGCTGTGTCCCTCAGCGGACTGAAGTTCCTCCTCCTGGCTTCAAATCAACTACAGGACAACCTTGGCAAGGTCAGTTTGAAGTCTGGGCCTCAGACAGGTGCACCTGTGCCCACTGCTGCAGATGCAGCGTCGGTTTCCAGGCTTGGCACCAGGAAAAGGCATCACTAAACAGCCAGGGTGGGGCTGGGCACAGTGGCTCCTGCCTGTAACCCCAGCACTTTGGGAGGCCAAGGCAGGGGGACTGCTTCAGCCCAGGTGTTGGAGGCTGCAGTGGGCTATGATGGCACCACTACACTCAGCCTGGGCCACAGAGCAAGACCCTGTCTCTAAAAAAACCAAAAACAAAAACGGAAGGTATGCAGTGCATGCATGCACTTTGCCCTTTCTGGAACAGCCACCACTGCAACTTCTCCATTGAAATAGGCAGATGAATTCGCTTGGACACTATGCACTCATGTATGCCAAAGAACAGCACGTCCCATATCTCTGGATAGTATGCTACCCCTGGCCAGGAGCTTCCAAGTTTGTGAGCTCCTTTCCCGGATGGGAACTGTGCCCCCCATGGGGACAGGGCAGGGCCTGGGGGATGGGGTGTAGGACTGATGGAGCCCATGCTAGCCTGGAAGCACCCTACAGGCCAGGGCGTCATGGCCACCAAGCTCATGTGAAGGTGAGCCACAGCCCCCTCTCTGTGGGTGGGGCTTCCGAGAGGTGAGAGAGCTGGGTGCCCTCAAACTTCAACCACCAGCAAACTGTCAAACCGGGCCAGGGGACTGCCAAGCCCAATTCTGGGCAACAGCATACAGAGGGGCGGGGTGGGGGTGACCAGGTACAGGTGTTCACACAGTTACCTCGATCAGCCAGGGCTTCAGCTTGTCATCGATGATGATGTCGTAGCCGTAGCATTCAAAGCAGTGCTTGTCGTTGTTCATCACGGGCTGCAGAGAGAGTGACTGGCGGGTTACACAGCCCGTGTCCGAGGGCACCGCTGAGACCAACACCTCAGAGGCCAGCAGGCCCCTCCTCATAGTCCTGACTGCCTGTGGCCATGGCTCCCCCCCTCCCACCCTTTGCCTCCACAGGGCTCAGAGACCGAGCACCTTCCTCAAGCTGCTGGAGGGAATCGATGGGGCAGTAACTGGTGTCTCCACACCTCGCTCTTCAGACCACTAGCACCGAGCGCCTCCGTCAGCATGAGACTGTCCTCGGAGTGGACAGACATCTGGCCCAAGCCTGGAAACCTGCAGGCAAGGTCTGTGCTGCTTGAGCACAGACAAACACTAGCCCCTCCGGGGTGCCTGCTACCCCTTCTGGCCCTGAGGGATCCAGGCCCAGATTATGAACCTGTTCCCAGGAACAAAAGTAAATCTGTTTACTCACAGTTTCTGAATTTTCTTTGTAATTTTCAATTCCATTTAACCTAGATAGACCTTGGATAAACTGTTCTCCGGGTACCTAAGAAACACGAGCTGCTTGCTTAATATGCAGATTCCTGGCTCTCCCCAGCCTGCCTGGATTCGAACCTCTGGGAGCGGCCCAGCAGGCAGTTTTATACGCTCCCCAGAGATTCTGTGCGCCCCCAGTCAGTGAACGAGAGACGGGGCAGCGAGGCCTTTTCATACATTAGCAGGAGTGTGGACTCGGCTCCAACAAGAGCCGTGGTTATCTGGAAACTCCTCAGGGGACCGGGGCCAGGGCCGCCCTTCTTACTTACTCAGGGAGGAAGGCCAGGCTCTGGCGGGCTGTTTCCTCGTGTAATTTAGTGCAATTACATTTCCACTAAAAGCCTGGTGTCCTCACCCCAGCCAGCGCCCCCAGACCACTGTCCCAGAAAATGTCTATAAGACAGGAAGTTGCTAACTCATCTGTCATTCCCCAACCCCTGCTCTGTTTCCAGCCTCCAAGCGCACTGACCCCCGGGCCGTGGCTCTCAGCTTCCCTGTTCCACCTCCTGCTCCGGGTCTGGGCCCCCCATGGTCCGAGATCCCATCTCCCGTCCTGTGCCAGGCCCCTCTCACATGCCTGTCTCTCATCTGCCTCGCCCTAGATTCTCTGAAGACAACATACCTGGTAAAAACCAGGTGATAAAATATTTGCTAAGTTAATAAAAACTAAATAAATAAAGCCCTGCTCCAAAGACCTTAAAAGCATTAGAAATCGAACAGCTTTTCAGCTCAGGGAACTGAGGCTCAGAAGACATTTGGAGGCCAGAAGGCCAGAATAGAGAATACAGGTTCTCTTGACTAAACAGCCAACTTTTTCTCGAAGTTCTGTCAGTCCAAGGGAAACTAAAGTGGGCCAGGAAAGGAGTGGAAAGGGCTGGTTTAATCAGGCACAAAGAGTCACCCAGTCACGTGTGTTAAGGGGTTAACAGCATTGAATTCTTCCCAACAATTAAAGTAATCTCTGCAGAGCCCTTGTTCATATAACCACCCGAGACATTGGTGTCAGGGTCCCCATTTCGCAGATGAGGTGTCTGAGGGTCCGAAAGGGTGGGTCCTGGAGCAAAATCACCTGTGGGGCCGTGGTGGGGCCCGGCCTGAAACC